CAGACGCAGACAGACGCAGACAGACAGACAGAGAGACAGAAACAGACAGACAGACAGGCAGGCAGGCAGACAGACAGACAGACAGACAGACAGACACAGACAGAGAGAGACAGACAGAGAGAGACAGACAGGCAGGCAGGCAGGCAGGCAGACAGACAGACAGACAGACAGACAGACAGAGAGACAGAGACAGCATATATTGTTGTTCTTTTAGTGTTGTTGTTATCACCCTGATGCTTCTGCTACTGCTACGTCTTCTCCTACTGCTGCTGCCCTCCTACTGCTGCTGTCACTGCTACTGTCACTGCTACTGCTACTGCTGCTGCTGCTGCTGCTACAACAACAACAAAAACAACTACTACTACGACCACCACTTCTATTTCGACTTCCTTGATCTCGACTAATTCTATTGAGGCCGAAATCAGGCACCGCTTCAGGAGTAGCTCGCAAACTCCGCGCAAGCGTCGTTAAAATTCACACTGCCAGATTCAGGCAAAGCTTCATTGCATACGTGCATTGAGCTGCGACAAGTAGTTCTTATCGAGCCCGTGAGAAGCCCTTGAAAGCCTTTGAGAAGCCCGAAAATATAATATACCTCAAGAAATCCACAGGAAGTCTTTGAACAGCTTACACGAAGCCGCAACAAGTTCCAAGAAACCATGAGAAAGAGGTCAACGGCCACGAAGAGGCCCGTCGAAGAGTTGTTCATAATTTGGGGCTTCCAAATTCCAATCTTCTTTAAATTTTGAATATGTCTCCACGAAACCTCCCCGAAGGTGTTGTTGGACAAACTCCCTTCGCGAAGAATGTCATTCCGGGGTGAAGGACTATGGATCCACGTACGTATGCATGCATGGATATGTATAGCTGTATGCGTATCTATGCAAGCATAGGCATGGATGTACACTGTATGCGCGCGTATCTTTCCTGCAGCTGTCATAGCTTTGTTGCTCCCAAGGTTCCTAGTCCTTACCAGACAGGAAGTTCTCGGAGCCGAACCTGTCAATGCAGCTCGAAGCTTCGCTGTTCCCCTTGCTGCCTTGCTGGTTGTTTGGCTGAGCGCCGCCTTCAGCTGATCTTCGCATGCCGGTGACCTCAAAGTATTGGCACCGCTGTGAACGCAAGGCATTCAGCAAGATTCAACTAGTTGCCTGACACTGTGCTCTGTGGCCACTTATCAGGCTCACGCTTGAAACTTTGAATGTTCCTTGCCTTCCGCTCCTGCTGCACAGCACATGACTGCAATCCCTGAGCTTTGTTGTATGTATATGTTGCTGGCTAAGTCACCGGAACAGTTTACCAATCAGCATAGCATCCAGACTCAGTTGCCGATTCGGGATCGCCGCCTTGACCGCAATTTCACTAATGTGAGACCGACACCTGCGATTGGCAAAAGCGCCCTTGCTCCATGCAACAGATACGCGCAGGGTGTCCTTGTTCTTTGTCATGTATACATGCATGCCAGTTGCATGGTCACTGGTTTCTTGCTTTGGCCAGGCAGGCACCGCCGCGCAATCTTTGGCGATGGTTGAGTGCAGCGGCAGTTGTGGCTGCCACTTTGATACAGTAGTGCACCAGGATTTTATTACTTACTGTTGATGCCACCGACTTCATATTTGCAGACTTGCTAGCATGGTCTACGCAATAAGACGTTCACAATTCTTCCGAATCGTGTGTCAGGTTGGCTCTTTGCACGTCCTGCCGTGGCTGCCCTTTATCGAGTGGTACAACTTCCTGCCCATGCAGAGCAGAGATTGGCTACAGGTGGTGGACTCCGTTGCATGTTTCGGTGCGCCAGCTGCAAGTGTAAGCCTGTTGTTCGTCCCATGGCACTAGCTAACTTCTTGTTTGCTGCAGTCCAGCCCTCTGAGGAAGCACTTGTATAGCCTCTGTGTGCCTGTCCCTGCGGCATCCTCCATCAACGTACGTACGGCATGCCGTTTGGGCAATCTGCGGCATCTGGGTGATCGTCGTGAGCCTGACAGCAGTAAGCGCCTGGGCGAAGTTGAGAGACCTATAGACTTCCATTTCCACCGTATCGCCCCGATGCACACCATCCTCGTCCTAAGGATGCAGCAATTACTAACAACATACGGCCACATCCAGACAGGTTTGAAGTATCCTCGGGCCCTCAGGGATGATCTGTTGCAGAATAAGTCATCGAAGCTCTGACCTGAGGCATGGTTCCTTCGGAGTACCAGACCATACTGCAACACCTGGCATGGCACCTGGAGGGAACCGCTCCTTTCTAGCCAAGCAGCACTTTCCCTTCTTGCCAGGTCTGATTCACAGACTTGACAGACTTGACTAGACCTCCAAAGCACTTTAAGCTCTGAAGTGCGAAGAATCGTATCGCTGAAGCTAGCCCCGAATCAACCTCGCTTGTGAGCTTTGTTCTCTGCCATGCGAGAGAGAAAATACATGAAAATACTAATTGCAACGAGTCGGGTTTGGCCATGCGCAGTACGCCAACTTCGTGTCTGGACCTGCTTTGCCCCAAGACTTCACTGAGGTTTTCAAGTGGACCGCCTGGTTGATGGTGGGTCGGATTGTTGCGCTGGACAGGCGTTCGTCCCTGGGCATAGCACATCCGAATAGAGCCTCGGCAGTTCACTTCGTTTGCCCATTGCCGAGGCTGTTTCGTGGATTGAAGATACCCGGCTCAACTCCGAGTATTGATACCTCCTCCTTTGGATACTGGCAAATAAACCTAGCCATATTCGAGCAGGTCAAGGATAAGTGCCGGTCACCACTCCGGAGAGCAGGTACAGATGTGGCAAAGGTTCAGTATCGCGAAACAAGGAGCCAAGGCCTGTCAAGGTGTGGTCGTACCTACCAAGGTTTCAGAATAAATTTCTGTTGAGGTGTAGTTACGTGTAGTTGATCACCACAGCCCTTGCCTTACGAAAGCCGTCTCAGACCAGTATCACCTGACGGTGCTAAGCCACTGATTGGGAATGAGACATGACGCATTGCACATGGGCGCAGTTTTTCGTGCTGATGCAGGATGCAGTTTTCCCCGTTCTATGTCCAAGTTGCAGTCGTAATACAGTCCATGCCATGATGTTTTCTTCGCGACTTAAGCCTCGAGATCTCTATTATATAGTGCAAGTTTCGGAGCCCCCCAGAAAGATGCTTGGCCCATGAACCAGGACTGGTAAACATGGCGACCGTCTGCTTCCACGCGAGAGTCGTCACAGAGACGTTTTTCGATTCTACGCCGATGTCCTTCCTGATGCAGCTGGTTTTTGCTGTGGCTGCTCTGGTGCAGTAGCAAGCTTCAGATCCATCCATGTTCTTCTCGTCGAAGGGAATGGACTGCAGGAGTGCTCCCATCAACGTCTTTAGTCGGGATGTACAGGTGTTCATATTTGAACCCCTTTTTTTTGGTTTGAAGCTTGCAAACACCCAGGCCTTTGTGACTATCTGGATGGCCATCAGCTTGCGAACAATGGCGTGCTTGGGCAAGAGCCTGAGGGTCGTGCAGAAGGAAGCCCGGAAGGCAGGCACTTCGGAGGTTGACCGAGGGCTTCAAGCATCGACCTTATGCTTGCTCGCCTTGGTAGAGTACCATCTGAACTTAACAGTTCGGGTGGCGGCAGATGATCGTAATTCTTCTCAGCAGTCGCTGTGATTTGACTGCACGCCCTCCACATGCCCCTTCTGTGTCCTGCTCGAGGGTGGTACCAAGCCTTTGACTCTCCACCATGCGTGCAGGTGACCGGTGCGCCGCAGGCCGAAGCCCAATGGGCTAAGAAGGCTCGAATTTCCGAGTACCGGGTCCAGTTTTGTAGGTTTGCTTCTGTGATGCTTGTCTTCATCCTGCCTCTCAAAGTGCGGTCTGCTCTGAAGCGTGCCGGGCTCGGTTTGCATTCTGCAGGTCCTGAAGTTCGAGTTGGCCGCATGCATGTGCCTTACCTTCACCTGCACGACGCTCTGGTGGATACCCCATCAAGTTCTCCTTTGGGGCGCTGGACAACAGACAGCAGACAGCGTACTCCTCGTCCCCATGATCGTCGCACACAGCCGCCAGACCTGCGATTGCTCGCTATTCTTCTCTGCTACACATGCTCTGCTTTGGATGTATCCCCAAACTACAGCCATGATCGCTAATTGCGCCCTTCCCTCCCAAAGCACCTCAGATGGGAGGTGTCAGGCATTTGTCGCAAGCATTGCTTGCAACTGCGGCTGTAAACAGTAAAGCCTTGTGACTTGCTTTGTGCCAGCCAAGCCGTACTGCCAGTAAACAAGCTCAACAGCTTAGGGTGACCACAGCGCCCTGCAAAATCCTCTCCGCAGAAAGGACTCAACATGCTGGTCAAAGCTGCTTCGGCAGCTACTCTCAGCGGATTGCTTTGGCATTTTCAGGCTGGGAAGCCTCTCTCCCTCCTCCCCTCCTTTCTGAAAAATCAAGTCGAAGCCAGGAGCGGCCCTGCCAAGATAATCCGGTCTTGAAAGCCTTGTAACCTTGTAGACATCGAAGGGCACCGCAGACTGCAGTCATGAATCGGGAAAACGGCAGAGGGTCCGGTTGCATCTGCAAGAATAGCTTCGGGCTGATCCTCTGGAGGGGCTGAAAATCCTGACATGACAGGTCTTTGGAAGCACGCCACGTTCCAGCATTTGTTCATTCGACTGCATTCCCGCCTCTTTTGGCTTGTCCCCCATGAATTCTGACCCTACGCTCCGCTGCACAGTTTTGTTCGTTCGTTCCAGCTTGTGTTTACTACATAGTCCCTACTATGTTCATGTATTTCTGGATGGCATTCTGCTGTCCCTTTTCGCTGCCCACAGTATCATACCCAACCTCGAGCTCCGCGTAACTACAACAAGACACGGTGTTTCGACGGCGTTTACTCGCACACCTCTTTCGGACATGAGCAAAGGACGGTCCAGGAAGCTCCCTCAAATTTTGAGGTATTCCCTCCATTCCATGTTCATGGCCGTGGAAGGTCTCGATCCATGCTTGTACCCAGCCATCAACATCATTGAAATTGAAATTGCATGGGGGTGTGCCAGGCTCCACAGACGGCGCCGACGAGCAATCTGCAGCTTGGACTCGCACCGATTTGGCTTCGGGTCTTTCAGAATCCTCGGAGATTCCCCCATATTTGAGGTTTGGTTTATGCTTTGAGAAAAATGGACTATGTGGCGACCTGCCCTTTAGTCTATCGCTTTTGTTGCAAGGCCACCAGCCACAGACCTCACTGTCTCTGGCCTGAGTGATGATCTAGGCGATCTAGGTTAGCTGTTGCTCCAGCCTGTGCCATGCCTCTGCAAACAATCCGACCATTGATTGCCAAAGCTTTTAGAACATGCTGCACGGTCAAGAACTGCGGCAAAGGCACATACAGATACACGGTCCGCAGCAAGGAGATGCAGAAATCTGGTCGCAGAAGGTCCCGAAGAGTAGAGGGAGTTGTCGGGCCCTGTTAAGGCTCCATGGAGAGTGTTGGAGCACCAGTATGTTTATGACAGGCCTTGCGCTAAAATGACGCGAACATGCAAACAACCTTCAAGGGGATCCGGCACAAGCAAGGAGTGACAAAAGACTTCGAAGGTTGGAGTCGACTCTCCGGGAGCCAGATGCCGTTCCTGTCATGCGTGCCAGTTCATTTCCCTCAACCCAGCTATGAATTTCTAAGCAAACCCAACCGGGACATGCCGGCATGTACAATGTACCCGCTCTCACGGGGCTCTCGGTCTACCTAGAGGACTCAGGCGCTAGTTAGAGCGGGTGTTGTCAACCCGGGAGGTAGACGAGCTCGCCCACCGTGCCATCAGCCGCTTCGCCATTTGTGAGGGCCATTGAACGGACTGGGTGCCGGGCTTTTGTAGGATTCTACGTGGGAGCGGGTCAGAAGCATTTATAGCATTTCTATCCAATACATGCTAACCTCCAAGCGTGTTTGACAGCAAAGTCCTGGCCGTCCTAGTTCAGGACAGGGGGGACCCAGGCGCCCAAGCTCCTGCTCGAGCCTGCCTGACCCGCATGGTGTACCCCAAGCGTCCACCATCCGTCCGAGGCCTGGAATCTCTGCTTCGCTTCTGGGGAGAGCTTCCAAAGGCGGGCCGGCGATTTTTCTTAGACAAATTTTCACTGTAGTGGCCGGCATCGCCATGCTAGGTCAAACGCATGTGCTTGTGTAGCTTTCCGGCATGATCATACGGAAATGTAACATGCGCCAACGTTCGTTTCAGGGAAGGATGGCATGGCGCATGATAAAATTCGATAGCCTTGCAGTGGTGCTGCTGTGTAGGGAGGAGTAGGAGAGATGAACCATGCCGAGTTGATTATATATCATCTATGATCTATTATATATATATATAATATATATATATATATTACTGTAGGTATCATGTATCATGGGTTATATATCATATATATATACATATTATATTATATCATATATCATCTATTATATATTATAATATATCTTACATTATATATCATATATTATATGTCATATTATAATATATTATACTATATTATATTATGTTATATTATGTTATATTGTATGATATTATATTATATTGTATTATATT